TAGCGAGAACGCGCATTGAGGGGCACAAGGGCGCAAGTGCGGGTATTGGGACAGGGCCAATCACGTCATTTTTGCCGCACGCACCTTTGGGCTCATGCGGACGCGTCGAGTTTAAACAAGGCGCTTTAACCAGCTCAGCCACAGTAACAGCTCATATTAGCCAGCTAAACTTTTACTACCCTGTTAGAAAAAATATATAGGTGCATAGTTTCATGTGGTTCTTCTCCCTCGCTGTATTATGGGTTTGCTATGTGGCGAGATTGTGCTGGTTACGTTCGTGAGGCAATCAGCTGATTACTATTATTATATAATGTATTAAGACCCTTGATCCTCACCTGAAACTTTATCCATGATGTGGTTTATAATGGACGGTGGTACAGAAACTTGGTTTACGCTGGCTATTCTCTACTGTCTCAGACGACGATGTTTGTCCCGTTTTAGCCACCGTAGCTTCTTCGAAAGGGAGGGGTGAGCAGTGGGCTGAGCCCTTAATGTAAACTCGCAACCGAACCGCTAGATGTCGCTAAAAATCACACACTGCACCTTTAAAGCATTTAGAGGACATTTGCCGTAGTCTGCTTGTCGATTATTCCTGCGCAGGAAGCAAGTTAGTTAGGGGGACAAGTATATTAGCACCCAGCTGCCGTCGATGTGTAGTCGCGCTAGGGTATAAATTGGACGTAGTTAGGTTTAGGGAAAAATCTACCATTAGATCAAATATTATACAAATTACCTATCATGAAAAGTAGCTATTTTTTTAAACAATTGTTTATTTAAAAATGTATAATATTCAAGTAAATAAACTATCTTAGTTAATAATCTTCAACTTTTGACATTATTACAGATTGTAACTTGCCTGCAAGTTATTGTAAAAAAAAAAAAAAAATGAAGATAATTTTTTACATTTTGTCTATTTAATTTTGATGTTTGAAAAAGTTTAGCAACAATCCCCTATTCGTGGAAAGTGTCTGGAAAAGATCAGTAAAACATGTTTGCTTTTTCATTCAAAAGAGTCACCACCAGACCATAGCAATATGGAAGTCCACATATGGTTGTTGTCCATTTCCATAGCAACCGGTTACCACGTGGCAGCTGCAACACAGAGTTTTTTTGGCACTCCCCTGTTTAAGGAGCCAACCAGGAATGTTTATATACTGATCTTCATTTAGCACAGACAGATTGTCAGCTCTGATATTCTATATTCATCCAGCATGTTGACAGACTCCTTCCTCTCGCATTGGTTGACAGGAGACATGAGGAGGTGTGTCGACACGATCAATGGTTACACAACTTGACACACATTAACATCTCTGACTGTGCTCTGCCTCCACCAGAAATTTGAACGCCATTGCTCAGTTCTGGGAAACACAACGAGGGTTTCTTGAATTAGGTGTGCCAGAATACCTGAGAGAATGAGTGGGAGGAGCTTATGATGTCATATGGTGCCATGCAAATGAGTGTTATGCAATGTTTGCATGACGTTTAGATTATGGTAAACATTTCTGTTAATAATCTAAAATAAAATGGATAGATGGATGTTTACGGCAATAAGTTGGAAGGTTTTACTGTTCGAACCCAACTTCCAAGAGACTGCCAGTACAAAAGTGTCGTGATTTATGCATGCATTTTGCAGAATAACGTTGTTTAGGTTGTGCTTCGGCTCTGCGTGACTGCACATGATTATGACCCTCTGTTAGCTACATATGACAATTTATCTGTTCAATAAAATAACTTGCTCACCTGTAGTTGTGCAATAAAAACTTTTCTCTTTTTACGGATATGACGAGAGAGACACACGGGCGAGTAACTTATGTACTCAATTTCCCGCGAAAACCATCCCAACATGTTTTGGAAGAAGGATTGATGATGTATTGACTTTAAGTTACATTATTTAAAATAAATGTGCATACCTTTAAATAAATTTTACTTAGAATTAAAAGTGTCTTGTTATAAAATGTTTGATTGTTTATTAGAAGTATTTATTTATCAAAAATGTAATGGACATTGTTACACAATTTGTCTCTTGGCTGCAATTATCGAGCTCAGCCATTTAATTCTGTAACCCAAATTATTGTAAGACAAATGAAGAAAAAAAGATCAAATTAGATTTGAATCTAGGCCTACTTGATCCTAAACTATATCCCCTTCAGTTTTACAGCTTAATATAAGCTAAATTTGGATTTTTTATATTATGGTTTTAATTTTATACATTTATAATCTTGTTTGAAAATAGAATATAGGCTAACTTATTTGTTTTTCTGTTTAATTGTTTGATGTTTAGGCCTATTGCTGTCAAAACCACTCAAACCATTCATATTTGTATATATTCACTTTTTTATAATAATGGCTGCTATTATTATTATTAAATTGTACTTACCTTAATACTAACATTAGGTGACACCAACAAAAGTAACTTTATCATAACTATATCAGTTATCTTAAATGCAACAACTACATTTTCACTTTTTTCCATTGGCTGGGCTTTGCATTACCCCACAGTTTGGTGGTCAAGTAGAGGTCATGTGTTTGTTTTAACGTAATACCTTAGGATTCCAGACAATGTGATGTGTGACAACTTCTACATTCTACAACGTTATGAAATGATGGTAAGTTAAGAAATGATGGAAGTACGCATAAACAAGATTTTGCAACATTGTTATTGAACAAAGTATTTTGATAATTATATCAGAGTCAAATAAACCTGTTGCAACCACTTTACATGAGATACAATTTCATTTGGAAGAACTGCTGACAGTTAAAATGGTCCTCAACTGAAACTCAGCTAGTGCATAACTCTCATATTACAGAGACGGCAAAGTTCTTTGCCAAGCAACTCACCACAAAACGACACTATGCAATCTTTTTATTTTTCTTACATTTTTGCAGTGTTCACGCTAGAGACAAACGGAAACTTCAAATAATCTTTTGACAGTTTACAGTCAGCATTGCCAAGTACTTACATAACCCTGTTTATCAAATGACTACCGCCCTATTATTGCCCCACTTTATGAAAGAATGGTAAATCTTTTGTTACTGCATATACTGTACAGACATTACATAACTTGCTTTCAAAGTGTACACTTGCAATCTAAATAAAAAGGAGACTTAGTCTAAAAGCACTAAAATATTTACGTGGCACGACTCCAAACAAAACATGCAAAGGCAACAGGCGGATAAGGAAAATAACTCAAATGGTTCAGAGATAACCTATAGGGAGATTATAGTCTTAAATCAAGCCAGCAGCCATATCACCCTGTAGCCCAAGACTGGTTGCCCACTGAAGCTAAGCAGGGCTGAGCCTGGTTAGTACCTGGATGGGAGACCTTCTGAGAAAACCAGGTTGCTGCTGGAAGAGGTGTTAGTGAGGCCAGCAGGGGGCGCTCACCCTGGGGTCTGTGTGGGTCCTAACGCCCCAGTATAGTGACGGGGACACTATACTGTCAAAGAGCACCGTCCTTCGGATGAGACGTTAAACCGAGGTCCTGACTCTCTGTGGTCATTAAAAATCCCAGGATGTCTTTCGAAAGAGTAGGGGTGTAACCCCGGCATCCTGGCCAAATTTGCCCAGTGGCCTCTGTCCATCATGGCCTCCTAATAATCCCCATATATATATATATACACTGATTGGCTTCATCACTCTGTCTCCTCTCCACCAGTAAGCTGGTGTGTGGTGAGCGTTCTGGCGCACTATGGCTGCCGTCGCATCATCCAGGTGGATGCTGCACATTGGTGGTGGTTGAGGAGATTCCCCCTTCCATGTGAAGCGCTTTGAGTGCCTAGAAAAGCGCTATATAAATGTAATGAATTATTATTATTATTATTAAATCAATGCATTATGTGCTAATCACCTCGATCAGAAGTGACAAGACATGCAATGCGAATGTGCATTAATGTACAGGTCTTATCTTGTGCAGTCAGTATCGCTGCGACAGACTGCCATGAAAAAGTTGCTCAATTTCCCCCTAAAGTTAGAATTAAATGTTTAATATGATTGGCACGATAGTCAACAGAGTATTACTTAACAAGCACAGATAAACTCCAGGACAATGAAACAAAAAAGTATACACAACTCATGAAAGACCACGTTAAAGATAAAAAAGCTTTATTGACAAGTTTTGTTGTGATCATAACAACAAAAAATGTGGATGCAAAGCTTAACTAAATAAAAATAATTTAATTTTGTTTCCCAATCTCCCTTTCTTACAGGATAATATATTCGCTGTGGGAAAACATTTATGAGCAAATGCAAGATATGAGAGAAATTGCATTTAACAAAAAGCAACTTTATTAAAGAGTGGAGCAAGACCGAAACTTGCAATTTACTTGTGAGCAGTCTGAATAAATAGATAGTGCACAAGAGAGGGAAAGCAACCAAGAGGGCTATGATAACATCATTTATCATGACAAGCCCCACTTTCCCTGAGGACCTACATTTGAGTCCCACCCTGTTTAAACCACAGACTCTTTTGTCTGTTTATTTTAGAATGGGCTGCAACTGCTGTTACAATTCCTATTACTTTTATTCCCATTACTCTGAACACAGCCATCAGCCTTTTCCCTAATATATTATGTTCTACAAAGGTACAGGAAAATTATTTATATTAAATAGAACAAAAAAAAAGAGAGAGAGAGAAAAGAAACTCAGAAAGAGAGTAGAATTTGGGAAGCTTAAGTTGTAGGAGCTGCAGCATTCATTTTTGGATTTTCATGTCTGTTTGGTTTATTTTGCCTGGAGACATAATTGATCCTTTTTCACTAAATGCAAAGCACTAGAGGACACGTTGCGTTTAAACCCTTCCCTTTCCCAACATTTAGCTTTTAAAATACCTGTGCGTCTCTGATGGTGAGACTCGACCTCTTTGTATAATCTGCAATTATACATACATAGCCTGTGCTAGTCTATACAGATGACACAAAAGAGAACAGGAATATGACTATTTACAGACCATGGATCTCTCTTCTGCATCACCATAAATCTTTATAATATGTACATATTTTCATTGTCCATGAGCAGACTCAGTTGGCCTGAGCGATGCGGGAGTCTGAGCCGATGAAGTTGAGCATCGTTTGGACCAACTCTGGCAGATCGTAGTCGTGCTTCCAGCCCCAGTCATTGCGGGCGTTGGAGTCATCAAAGTTCATGGGCCAGCTGTCAGCTATGTAGACAAAAACAAGATCATACAATATTTTGCAAAAAAAAATATATATTTTAATGCTTCTGAGTGTAGATTTATTGGCTCATACCTATAGCCTGTCGTACAGAGTCAATCTCATATGTGACCTGAAGGTCAGGAAGCTGTTTCTGGACCTCATTTGTGAGTTCCTCTGGAGTGAAGCTCATGGCGTTGATGTTGTAGGTGCGCATACTGAGTGTTTCCGTTGGCGCCTCCATCACCTCCACCGTGGCCCGCAAACAGTCATCAATGTACATCATGGGAAGCCGTGTATCTGGCTTTAGATTGCACTCAAACTTGCCATTCTTGACGGCGTCATGGAAAATCTGCACGGCATAGTCTGGAAAAGCCAAAAGAAACAGACTTTCATGACTCATTGCGGGTTTTTTTGGCCAGCAGTAACAGCTGTAAGATTACGTTTCAGGTTATAACATGTGACTTTAGGCAGTAGGCGGTGTGGTTTAAATGGCTGGCTGGCATTGGTGCATGCTATCAGCAAATCTAAAAATACTCAAAGTGAACACCCCCGTTCTGAGCATGTGCCCGTTGCATAACTTCATTTACGTACACGCGCAAGGTCATGTGGCAAAAACACAGATGGAGCAGAGTGCACCGTACCCGTTGTGCCACCGCCGGGCTGCGAGTCTGCAGAGATGATACCGGGGTACCGCAGACAGCGGAAGTCGAGGCCATAGCGGTGGTGGTAGTACTGCAGAAAAAGAATTATGGGTAAAGATTAACATTCTGAGTGACATAAGGCCTAGAACAGTACTGAAAATACTGAAATAAGGGTGACCCGTGCCTTACCTCTCCCATAAGCTCCGCGTGGACTTTAGAGACGCCATATATGGTACGTGGTCTCTGCACACAGAGGTCAGGAGTGGGGTTTCGAGGTGAAGTTGGTCCAAAGGCACCAATGGTGCTGGGCACAAAGAGCCGAAGCCCGTGTTCTGCTGCAATGTCGAGGATGTTGTGCAGTCCTACAGAAAAAAAGAAAGAAGAAAATGTACATTTTCTGCACAAAAGGAATCAAAAGTTAAAGGAGAACTCCGGCGCAAAATGAACCTTTGGTCTAATAAAACATTGGTACCTTGTCAACCGTTCTCTGAGATTTGTTTTCATGATAATCGATGTAAAGAGTTTTATCTCTAAAAACTGTTTAGCGTATAACGCTAGTAATGGGGGCATTTAATAAGTAAAAAGAAATCGCTAGTTTATACCACTAACAAGGCTCAAAATAGCCCCACACTAACACAGTAACATAATGAGGGTCCCTACATGCAAAACAAAACATTGAGAACTTTGTAAGTGTACAGACCGTTTAATAAGAAGATAAAGATAAAGACAGTCCACTTGGTGTATACAGACAGGAGCCATCTTTGGAAAACAGACTCGACTAATCAAACCACGAACGACGTGCTAAGTGAGCTGAACTGTATGAATGGCGTTCGTGGTTTGATTAGTCGAGTCTGTTTTCCAAAGATGGCTCCTGTCTGTATACACCAAGTGGACTGTCTTCATAAAGTATCTTCTTATTAAACGGTCTGTACACTTACAAAGTTCTCAATGCTTCGTTTTGCATGTAGGGACCCTCATTATGTTACTGTGTTAGTGTGGGGCTATTTTGAGCCTTGTTAGTGGTATAAACTAGCGATTTCTTTTTACTTGTTAAATGCCCCCATTACTAGCGTTATACGCTAAACCGTTTTTAGAGATTAAACTCTTTACATTCGATTATCATGAAAACAAATCTCAGAGAACGGTTGACTAGGTACCAATGTTTTATTAGACCAAGGGTTCATTTTGCGCCGGAGTTCTCCTTTAAGCTATTGTAATAGTACGATCAAAGTAGTTAAGAATACATTTCTGTTTGATAGCTGAAAGAAATTCTAAACATTTTCCAGGAAAAACTTAAAAAACATCCATTAAAAGTACTTGGGGGGGGGGGGGGGGGGGGGGGGATTAATAATCTACAATTATTATGAGAAGTACAGAGAATGTTAAATCTAACTGTATTGTCTAAATGACTATCAGCCACTAAGTTCAGTGCAAGTTTTCTACTGTCTTACCTGTGATGTTGACTGCTCGTGCCAGTGCCACATTAGCTTCCCCGACAGCACTCAGAAGAGCACTGTAATGCACTAACCAGGTGATCCTGTTATTTACTACAATCTCTCGCAAGTTCTTGTAGTCCAGAATGTCAGAGTAGATAAAGGGTCCTGTGTGGAAGAGGGTGAGAACTGTTAATCGACACGTCAGCACTTGCGTGATCTGTTAAAGCTCTATGCTTTGAGTATTGTTTATTAAAAAAAAGTTTAACGGACTGATAAGGGAAAAATTACGTTAATTAAACTATTAAAATAAATGCTAGGAATGCAAATCAATTCTCTAAGCTACTAATTATAAGAGATTGTACAGAACAGGTCATTAACACAACAATTAACTTAATTAGCATTTCTTTACTGATTTAAATGACCTTATCATGGAAATTAATAAATGATCCCTTCAAATAACTCTAAACTACATTTGGCTAACATCTGGTTTGAACGAATATGGTTTATGTAATAATAATAATAATAATAATAACAACAACAAGACAGAACCCACTAATAGAGTGCAAACACAATTACTTCTCTAGTCTAATTAAATGATATATTAAGAAATCACAGCCTTTCATTTGAGATGAACAAAAGACGTACCACTGTGAAATACGTTGCTTGGTGGTTTCCTGATATCTGAGAGGATCACATTGTTTTTTCCAAATCGCTTCCTATGAAACGGGAATAATTGTTTTATATACGTTTTTTCATATAAAACTTAAAATTAAGTGTTACACTTACAAATGCATCTATAATGCAAAACTGAACACATTTTTTCCATGTACTGTAACATACATACCTTAAGAGTTTAGCAAGCCCAACCCCTAGTTGCCCGAGGCCACCTGACAGAGAGAGAGAAAAAAAGAAATGATCAAATATTTTGCAAAAAACACAGTAGGGGAGTCAGGAACCACCTTTCTTAAAGATAAGCTACAACATGTGAGAATTACACACGTCCCAACTTTTTAAATACAAATAATGCATTAATCTAGTCGTTATCATACCTGTGATGAGAACTTTGGGGTGGTCCGTCTCAGAGAAAGACACAGAATGAAAGCTGGCATCAGATCCAGAGGTGACCTGACGTGGGGAAAAGCTGATGTTGCGTATCGCTACAGTCAGAGACTGGCATCCACACGCAGGGGTCAGCAGGGCCTGCTTTGCCACCTTACTAAGGGCTCTGAAGACTGGCATACTCGGTTACCTGGAAAAACAAGAGGATAGACAGGCTGTGAGACATCACATAACCAAATGAATGAGTATTAAAAGAATAGCTCACCCTAAAACGTGAACTGTCATCATTTACTCACCATCGTGTCCTTCCAAACCTGAATGACTTTCTTTCTTCTGTGGAACAATGATGACAGCCTCAGTCACCATTCACTTTCAGTGCATTTTTTCCCTCCATACAATGGAAGTGAAAGGTAAGTTAACTGTCATTTTGCCTAACTTCTTTCTTTCTAGTTCCATAGAAGCAAGTCATTCAGGTTTGGTAGATAGGCTACTGGACATCTAAATATAAAAGCGTGTGCTATATTTGTATTAACATTTCGGGTCAAACATCGAACATATTTCTTACTTCAGAGCTATCTTAAACACACGAGGCTCAGAATAGCCGATTTACCCACGCAAAATACACCTGTATCCAAAAAAACTTTAATGAACCCTAGTGCAATGCATCTCAAAGTTCATCCTTAATACAGTAAACTTGAGAAAACAGTACATTTCCAGGTTGTCATCGACGAACTTCTTAGCTTGAAAATGTGAAGGAACTAAAGGGAACGAAGAATGTAATTTGAGCGTACTTATACGGCCCCGCCTTCGGCGGCAGCCAATCAGCACGCAAGACCTGTGCGCGAGCGCTGCTCTGGCACCACGCCGAGCACGGGGGGCAAGATGCCGAACACATCCTTCAATTCAACCTCTAAAGACTTAATTCTGTGCCAAGTTCCGGCTCGTGTTTCCCGTTTTGCAGAACAATACCATGACACACAATCCGAGCCTTACTATCAGCCGGTTTGATCTTGAACGGAAAGGTCAGTCAGCCTTCTGGGAACTTAGATCAGATTGGTTGTAAAAGAATTGTATAGCCTACTGGCTTTTTCAGTCAACCCTGGGACTTAATCCTCGGTTGTCTTGTTACATGTTCACACTGTTCATACTTTATCCTGGGTTAGTAATTAATCATTGGTAGACATGCTTAGAGATTTTAAACCCCGTATTTAAGTTCTCGTTTGCATATTTATTTGGCTAATACAGCACGCGGCCCGTATTAATAAATGCCTGCCCATCACCCAACAGTCGCCACGTACACCCGCTATGGCTCTTTAAGTATTCACATACATCCAAAATAATACGCTCACTTCATAACCCATTTTACCCGTATGCTGCCGCTCTTCGACATTTTTATCCGTTTCACTCGGAGTCGGACATGGAGACTAAACTCTGCGCGTGAATATTTCAAGAAATAAGCACTGAGGAATTTCATGATTGGTTGTCTGTTGCTAAACAACTAAGTTAGCATTTATAGCGGTAAGGGGACTGAAGTGATGAGCAATCTAGCGGCTCTGTGTGTGAAGAACGTGAGCAAACTCACGACGACGACACCCTATGAATGAACATAATTTAAATAACGAGCACATCAGGATTTGGAGTTTCACATGAACAATCGTATTTTGTCAAACACTAAAGGGGAGTCTTGCGATGAAATGATGAATAAAGACATAGCGCTAGAGAACAATCACCTCTTGAGCTTCATTATAGGCCTACAATCTCATATAAGATATTTGCAGAGATCTTTAAGACACAGTAATTGGATTGAAAGGTAAAAGCGATTCAACAGATAGTGTAAAATAAACAATTGCCTATAATGCATTTGATCTTTCTCGTCAAGGCCATAGGAAGCTTACGTATAAGGTTCTAATTTCAATCAATTTAAAAGCAAAACGCAGATTTCAGTAAATGAATTCACTCACCTATTGACAAATAAGATTCAGAGATTTGGCAAAAAACGTGTTTTTCTGGTCGACGCTAGCAGCTTTTTTTATCTGGTTTTCCGTCACTGACGCTTCTTCTTTCTGTATCTTCCAGTATTGCATCAGCCCGCCGAGGAGGTTTTATATCCGCAGCACGAGAGGCTTTCAAGAGAAGCCGGCTGCGCTCTGATTGGCCAGCGCTGGAGGTGAGGTCCTGGCCACGCCCCCTGACGTCTGTAGAACTGAAACATGACGACTGAGGGTCTTCTTCAGGGCTGCACATGTTCAACCCACCTCTCACAACGAATGCAGTCAACAGGACCTTTGATTATGAGATGGGGGTGGAAAGTGAGCGTCAGAAATCTCGTAGTAAAGATTGGGAGAGAACATTTCGTATTTCTTGTAACATATTCTGTATTCCGATATGGAGGACCAAACAAATAATGACCCAATTAAATGTTTCTTTCACTAAATTTAGTAAGAAAATCGTTTATTCTTAAACATGTTAAATACTATTAAAAGTCGGCATGAAACGGAAGTTGCGGTAACTTTCGAGTGAAGGCTTCTCAAGCAAGAAAAAAATGTAGGGCGCGACTTGATTTTGTCCATCGTGATTGATTGGATGGTTGTGGTTTGCTATTGCTGTGATGTCATGTGAGCGACAGGTTGCCCCGCCCTCACACCAGTAAACACGTCATCTTGTTTACTTGTTTACACCCTGTCTATGGTTTACACACATGAGAAAAGAGATGTCCTTGCAAGAGGAAGTTATTTTGATTAAAGATCAAAAGTGCACATGAATTTAAAAAAGTTAAACAAAATAATCATGTGCACGGATAAATCATTTATAATAAATAATGCAATATTACTTAAAAAAAATTAGAATAGTCCATTTTGATTTCCTGGTGATTTTAAACTTTTTTTAAAAAACAATTTTACTGATTTATTTTTTATAATATTAATAATAATAATAATTATTATTATAAATCTGTGAACACCCCTAAAAAGTATGTTTTGGCATCTTTAGAAAAAAATTAAACCTGAGCATAAGCTGTGAACAAAAATAATAGAGGAACTTTACCAGCATAAATCAGTCTTCCTTTTTTATTGTTGCTGCTATTTTCTGCCAATGCTTGAACGGCAAGTCAGAGCTATTACAGGTTATGGTCTGCCACACACCATTAATATGATTAGGTGTTACTGTGATGCTTCAAGGTCATTTCCTCTCAAAACAATCAATCGAATCTTTACCCTGAAAATCCATTAAAATCTCAATTGCATCACTCCAGGTGTATTTATGAGGCTTCTCAATTTAAGATATCAATACTTGGACAGAGAAAGGAGGACAAATCTTCCTCTTTCCACAAGGTTAAAAAGCATATTCCACAGAACAAAATAGTGAATGAGTAACTCAAAGTGACACTTTTAGGCTTGCGAGAGGTGTTTGCCAGAGGGGTTACTTCAGGTCTGCTACCGTCTCTGTGAACCTAATGTGTCTATTAGACATTGTTTTTACAAAATTAAAAGCAAAATAAATTTAGCACATACATTATTTCCAGACATTGCAAAGATATCGTTATTGATCATCTTCACAGCTCAAGAGGTCCCGTATAAGGGGCACTTGAAACTTGAGTACATGTATTAGCCCCGTCCCCCAGGAAGCACTGCATGTTCCTGATAATGAACAGGGAAAGCACACACGTTTATGTGATGAGAGATATGGTGCTTTACACAGCCAACGGTTGTATATGAGCATAAGCATATGCAATGTAAAACTATCATTTGTGACAAAAAATGACAAACTTTAATACATATGTTGATGTCCTACGGTGTATATATATATATTCACTCACCTAAAGGATTATTAGGAACACCTGTTCAATTTCTCATTAATGCAATTATCTAATCAACCAATCACATGGCAGTTGCTTCAATGCATTTAGGGGTGTGGTCCTGGTCAAGACAATCTCCTGGGGCACGTTCAAGTTCAAAACGGTGCTCAACGTTTTGCTACAGTTTCCGGGTTGAAGGTCATGTTTCCTGGAAACAGTGTGCAACGGGGTTTGAGATACGTTTTCTCTTGTTTGGTGGGTGTGTCACAACTGCAGTCCAATCAGCAGCAACAAAAGCACGCGGTATTAAAGTGAACTCGCACAATGGGTTCAAGGAAAGTCATTTACAAATGTGTTCGATGCAGCTCGGTATACGCAACAACTGAGGATATTAGAAGACATGTTTGTCGTAAGTTTTATTGTAAAAATATAGGATATCAACATAATGATGTAGTTGTTTATATTTTTAGCTTCATTGCAAGTGTACGACATTTGGCATATAAATAAACAATGGTAATTAAGTGCTTTTCCTAAAAATGAGAAAGAAAATACAGGGTATTAAAACAGTATGAACTACAAATAAAGTCAGTATGTGAGGCAAAATAGATGTGTTTTAGTCTGAATAAGGTAAGAGGTGTGCTTCCATTTCAGTTTCCACAAATCCCTTCACTCGATTGGGATGTTCTCTTGTGTTCTGGGCGGCAAGTGCAGTAACTGTATCGGGCATATTTTGTAGTATTAAACACATATTTACCGACTTCATCAGGCTCCGAAAATTCTTCACAAAGAACACAAAGAATGGCCTTCTCAGCTGCTATAGTTGCAACTCTTGCATCATCAGAAGAGTGTGTTCAACACATCACCGTTTCTGTTTAAAAAACATTGTGCAACGTTTTGTCGGGGCTGAACGCAGCCCAGAACTCCAAACTGAATGTCAGAATGGGAAATAAAGGTGATTTAAGCAATTTTGAGCGTGGCATGGTTGTTGGTGCCAGACGGGCCGGTCTGAGTATTTCACAATCTGCTCAGTTACTGGGATTTTCACGCACAACCATTTCTAGGGTTTACAAAGAATGGTGTGGAAAGGGAAAAACATCCAGTATGCGGCAGTCCTGTGGGCGAAAATGCCTTGTTGATGCTAGAGGTCAGAGGAGAATGGGCCGACTGATTCAAGCTGATAGAAGAGCAACTTTGACTGAAATAACCACTCGTTGCAACCGAGGTATGCAGCAAAGCATTTGTGAAGCCACAACACGCACAACCTTGAGGCGGATGGGCTACAACAGCAGAAGACCCCACCGGGTACCAGTCATCTCCACTACAAATAGGAAAAAGAGGCTACAATTTGCAAGAGCTCACCAAAATTGGACAGTTGAAGACTGGAAAAATGTTGCCTGGTCTGATGAGTCTCGATTTCTGTTGAGACATTCAGGTGGTAGAGTCAGAATTTGGCGTAAACAGAATGAGAACATGGAGCCATCATGCCTTGTTACCACTGTGCAGGCTGGTGGTGGTGGTGTAATGGTGTGGGGGATGTTTTCTTGGCACACTTTAGGCCCCTTAGTGCCAATTGGGCATCGTTTAAATCCCACGGCCTGAGCATTGTTTCTGACCATGTCCATCCCTTTATGGCCACCATGTACCCATCCTCTGATGGCTACTTCCAGCAGGATAATGCACCATGTCACAAAGCTCAAATCATTTCAAATTGGTTTCTTGAACATGACAATGAGTTCTCTGTACTAAAATGGCCCCCACAGTCACCAGATCTCAACCCAATAGAGCATCTTTGGGATGTGGTGGAACGGGAGCTTCGTGCCCTGGATGTGCATCCCACAAATCTCCATCAACTGCAAGATGCTATCCTATCAATATGGGCCAACATTTCTAAAGAATGCTTTCAGCACCTTGTTGAATCAATGCCACGTAGAATTAAGGCAGTTCTGAAGGCGAAAGGGGGTCAAACACAGTATTAGTATGGTGTTCCCTATTAATCCTTTAGGTGAGTGTATATATACTGTATTATTTTTTTGTTCCTATAAAATATTTTATTTCAACTATATATTCTAGAATAGATTCCATTTTGTTTGCTTTTTTCTTTGTAGCACATGTACTATCAGTGATTAGTCCTTATCGGTCATTATCACTTTGCACTGATAAGATGCTAAGTCAAACTGACCACTGTAGACTCTTTACAGTAGTCAGTCTGATTACTGAAACCGATTACTGTGACTCTTATAGATGTCAGTTTAAATATGAAAACACCACAAGGCTGTACATTAAACAATCTTTTAATGCCCACAGAATGAACTTCAGTGTAACATCTGATCAATATTACATTTTGTAAAGCAAGGCATGACCCTATACAGACACTTATAAGACAAATCTTAATGATGTATGTCAGTTGATGCTACTGAAGTGCCAGAATTAATGAATAAAAAAATGATTAACTTGTGCACATGTATAAAAAAACAAAACAACAACAATAACAACTGTCTATACCCAGTATCAAAACCTTCCTTAAACTAAAACACATTCATAATTGCAGCAGTCTATTTGATAAGAACCCACTGGAATATTAAAATGACCTTTATATGCAACGGGAGTCATACATCATAGATTTAAATATTCACATATTTATGAAACAAAGGGTTCCAAAAACCTTAATGGCACAATGAGAGTATATTCATTGAGAAATGATATAAAAGATTTTTGGAGAAAACACTTCCAGTCTAGATGAACATGCTCAAGTCATTCATGGAGAACTGGAGGGAATGAAGTGCTTTTGTTCACAACGGAAATTGTAATGATCCCAGTGGGCTTTATTTTTAGATGTTCCTAAACAACGGCTTTGTGTATCCTAATAAAGATCTTCATATTCACACACACAAAGAAAGGTTCTAAAGGCTGAGGATGGAGATTTATGACACATTATTTTGATTCACAATATCTCTAACACAAATTTGTCTTTTTAAACAAAATGCTAAATATTATTACTCTATACAAATATGTATATTACCCGTGCACATAAGATCTTACATTTGTAAAGCAAACTGTGCCACTTTTGGCAATCTCTTATTCATGTGGCCAGAGTTATGGATCATGTAAGACTATGTAAACCACCAGTGTTATTTTGAAATTATATTTCCAGCATCTCATAGTCAGTCTCTAATTCTTTCCCTTTCAAAACAGCTGTTTTATAGCTGCATTGTCTATTGCACTTTGTGACAAATGACTAAAAATAAAAAATGGCACATCAGCAGTCCCTTTTCTTTGAGAATGTGTAAACCACAGCACCCAATTTGCAATATCTAGGGAAATGACATAATAACCAGCTAATCAGTTCAAAGTGTTTACATTGAACAAGCAATAGTAAGGACGAGTGCGGCATAGTGTTTGAGGAAGAAAACTACAATGACATACTAATAAGAGCATCAGATCTATTGGCCATAGAGTAGGATCCATTGGAGACCAGTGAAATATGTTAATGTGAATAAAGTTTAGCAGTGGAATCATAAGGAAAGAGTACGGTCAGAGGGAGGAGTGTAGATACATGTGCGTAGGACTCATTTCATTCTGTTGATGTCCTACGGTGTCTGCAGCGGGCTGTCCTCTGTCTCCAGCTGGGCCAGCTGTCTCCGCAGACTGTTCACTTTGTTCTGCAGCTCCTTGTTGTACTCTATAATATGGACCATCTCCTGATAGGCCTCATCCAAACACTTTGTGGAGCGATTCCAGCGAAGGAATATCCCTATAGAGAAAACAAGACCAGAGTAAATCTGTCACAATGTGCCTGAAATGTGATTATATATTCTTGGGTCGCTGATCGATTAACTTTTCTGGCATTTAAAAAAAAAGTTAGGTCAGTTTGATGTTGCATGAGAGATTTAAAGGGGTAATTCCCCACTGACTATAAAACCGGGTTGCCTACGCGCTGGATAGGCATGTTGCTGTCCAAGGAAACTCCCAACAGTCTACTCCTATTAGAATGGAAAAATCTGAAATACCTCCGTGTTTGTAGAAATGTAGACATTTCAAACTTTTAGGGCAAACGGAGGGGAAAAACTGACAGGAACTGCCATTCCGTCAGTTAAATTAAGGAACGGGGAGTGCAACCGTTCCTTAGAAACGGAGGAGTGCAACCGTCCATAGAAAGCTGCGTTATTTGCCGTCAGATTCTGTTCCCCCCATGTTTCTTACACAATGAGTTTCTAATATTTATCAAACTGCTGCCATAGTGTTCCATTTTTCCCATAATGGTGTTTATGTTAATTTCTCGACCCAGGTAAAGAATAAACATTTATTTACAGTATCTCACAAAAGTGAGTACACCCCTCACATTTCAGCAAACATTTTAGCATATCTTCTCAAGGGACAATACTATAGAAATGAAACTTGGATATATTTTAGAGTAGTCATTGTGCTGCTTGTATAGCATTATATATTAACTGTCCTCTCAAAATAACTATACATACAGCCATTATTGTCAAAATAGCTGGCAACAAAAGTGAGTTCACCCTAAGTGAACATGTCAAAACTGTGTCCAAAGTGTGAATATTTTGTGTGAGCACCAGTGTTATCTAGCACTGCCTTAATCCTCCTAGGCATGTAATTCACCAGAGCTGCACAGGTTGTTGCTGGGACCCTCTTCCACACATAATGTTATAGACACATGGCGCCTCTCCACCTTCCGCTTGAGGACGCCCCACAGGTGCTCAATAGGGTTCAGGTCTGGAGACATACTTGGCCACTCCATCACCTTCAGCTTCTTCAACAAGGGAGTTGTCATCTTGGTGGTGTGTTTGGGGTCGTTATCATGCCGTTCGGCCCAGTTTCTTAAGGGAGGGCATCATGTTCTGCTTCAAAATGTTACAGTACATATTGGAATCCATGTTTCCTCAATGAAGTGCAGCTCCCCAGTACCAGCAGCCCTCATATAGCCCCAGACCATGATGCTACCACCACCATGCTTGACTGTAGGCAAGACACAATTTTCTCGGTACTCCTTACCAGGGTGTCGCCACACATTCTGGACACCATCTGAGCCAAACAAGTTTATTTTAGTCTCATCAGGCCACAGGACATGGTTCCAGTAATTTATGCTCTTGGACAGGTTGCTTTCAGCACACTGTTTGCGGGCTTTCTTGTGAGCCAGCTTCAGAAGAGGCTTCCTTCTGGGACGACGGCCAAGCAAACGGTCTTGTTGCAGTGTGTGGCGTATGGTCTGAGCCCTGACAAGCTGACCTTCCGCTTCTGCAACATCTAAAGCAATGCTGGCAGCACTTATGCGTCTGTTTATGAAGCCAGCTTCTGCACCTGACGCACAGCACGAGGACTCAACTTCTTTGATTGACCCTTGCGAGGCCTGTTCCGAGTGGAACCCGTCTTGGAAAACCTCGGTATGACCAAGGGGGTAATCCACCAGCCGGAAACGGAAGTCTCCCCGGGGCCGCCATTGGCTAACAAGCCTTCACCTGCTGTTAGCATTCCATTGACTCCCATTCATTTTTGCGTCACTTTGACAGCAAATAACTTTACATCTGAGGCGTTTAAAGACTCCATTTGTCCATTATTAATTTCTAAAGAAACACGACAATGTATAAAAGGCTCCATTACCTTGTATCTTACGTTATGGCCCCGTAGAAGCAGTTTTTGTAAAAATAGACTAACGATTGCATCATAACACGCGACTCTCTGTCGCACAGTAGAGAAATTACCGTATAGACAGGAGGAGAAGCTCGCTCGCAATCGGGGGGATGTGGAGGAATAAAGTCAAGGGAGAGGCCCATAGAGAGTTGTAAAGTTGCTCCTGCTGCTAGCTCATGAACAGCTAATACTCACGCTCTCCGGCTCTGCAAGATTCGGAAGGGAATGATTCTAGAAGACGTACAACTGTCAGACAGGTTGCTCATGTCACATCTACATCGTCAAGCTCAGTTTGAGCCTGCACAGTGCGCTTGGCAATCAGGAAGTGAGTGCTTCTAATTGACTTCACTTTCGTTGTCTATGGGTTGAAGTCTATGGGGTCGCTGTGTCCATTTCTTTTACTGTCTATGGGTATGACCCTGGCCTGTACTGTAACTCAGTTTCAGGGTGTTACCAATCTTCATATAGTCTAGGTCAACTTTGTGGAGAGCAACAATTCTAATTCTCAAATCCTTAGAGAGTTCTTTGCCATGAGGTGCCATGTTGAACATCCAGTGGTTCAGTATGAGAGAATTTTACTCAAAGCTCAAATTTAACTGCTCTAATACAAGATACACACATTTGTATGGTCCTGTCAAGCAGACAAAAACATGAAAATGATGAATAGGACATGTGGCTTTGCATGTTAAATGACGTACAGCTATTATCACTTAGGGTGTATTCACTTTTGTTGCCAGCTATTTTGACAATAATGGCTGTATGTTGAGTTATTTTCAGAGGACAGTAAATATATACTGCTATACAAGCAGCACATTGACTACTCTAAAATATATCCAAGTTTCATTTCTATAGTATTGTCCCTTGAGAAGATATACTAAAATGTTTGCTGAAATGTGAGGGGTGTACTCACTTTCGTGAGATACTGTACATATAATAACGACATTGTAACAACACAGTGAGGTTACACTTTGAATATAATGCCTTGGAAGAAATGCCACAAGCTGAAAAAACATGTAAACTGGTCACATTCAGTTTCCATGACAGGCATTAAACATAATCAATTGCACCAAGTGTCTCTTGTGATATACATATGTTTACACATGCATATGTAATTAAGCTACAGTGGGATTTTTGTGTAGTTGAGCTACAGTCTTAATCTGTCTTCATCTGCATAATCAAATATTTTAAGGATTAAATAAACATTGCACAATACACAAGAGCATAATGCAGATGCCAATTGTAGATTAACATACATGCACATGCTGGACGAAGACAAGCTACAATCACATTTTATAGGTCTGTTAGTCTGAATAAAAATTAGAACAATTTCAGTCAGACTAAAGCATTTATATGACATATTATATAATTAAATAAAATGTATTATAGTTTAAATTCATATTAAATGCAATTAGCCAAATTTTAGAGTGCTTTTTTGACCCACCTAAGAAGGACTTATAGAAAAACTGTATTTATAATGTATACTTTAATGTCAATTTTATTAATACTTGTATGTCATGTATTACATGCCATGTATTATAATATATTAAAATAAGGGGCTGTTGAATGCTTGAAACTGATTGGTTGACGAACATTCTAAGGTGTGCAATTATTTTCAGGGAAACGCACGGCTAAAGTAGTTCCAGGCAGGTCTTGACCGCATTACAGTTCTGTATAACTTCACCAAATGATTTCAGTTATTTGAAAGGTCTTTACAGACTACAAAACCAAAACACACAACGACACTGACCAAGCAAATAAATACAGTAAACAATAGGACAAAAATGATACATTATTTCCATGTTTTTGCCACAAAATTACATCTTATGTACGGACAGCACATACTCTCTTTCTCTCGCTCTCTCTTCCTCTCAAACGCACACATACAGTATGGACACACAGAACTTAAAAGCTACATGACATTTCTTACTAGCGATGTAATAACAGCGCTGTTCTTGGAGCAGATAAACTTACAGTTTCGCTATTAGTAGACGCTGCTGCCGAACACTGTTGAGAGATGCACAGACTCTGGTAATTCACACACGCTTCATCTCTCTCTCTAATTACTGTATTAGTCTGTTAGTGCTATCAGTGGCTGAAGCCTCCGTTACTAGCTCTAAAATGACGTTTTGGAATTAGCAACGGAGGGATGAGATGTGTAAGAATTAGTCCTACACTAACGTTTTAAGGACAAAAACCTGACAAATGTTTTGGAATACATCATCTGAACAATGACTTGAGGTGTGGTAACTAGTATAAGTGGAATAATTGATTCCTGGCAGTTGAATTATTAGAAAGTAATGCACACCGAGGTGTAACTCCGCTTCACGTCGTGGCCGCATTACCACCTCGGGTGTGCATTATTTTCTAATTATTTAATGGCCCATCTTCATCTTCATCTTTTACTTTGCAACTTCAACATTACAAATGTGTAATTACAATTTAGTAAACTTAAAATATATTAACTTTAAATGTCTTATCATATAACACTGCAGTTAAAATGATACTAAAATACTTTATGTGTGCTTTAGTATGTTATCAAAATAAGTGTACATGGGATACAAATAAGCACACTTTTTAAATGAACTTTTAGCAAAGCCATGCCATACCTCAAGGTTTTACATAAGGAAACATACAGAATGACCGGAATCTTTGTCGACACCCCCATGTTTCTGAGCACACGTACAGCTGACAGTCTTTAATGATGTCAGGAGCGGAGAAAACTGGTCAATACCCACCCAACTGTGAAATTAACATTAGATTAGTTGTTTCTCAAAGGACCTTGAAGCTTAAATTCTTTGGGCACACTGTCCTCCCATACTTTCAATTATTGCTCAATGCAAAGGCTTTTCAGATCCCATATCTTAATATCGCCTACCTTTAAAATAAATAGTTTAAACTAGATCTTTTGGTTCATTTCATAGTTTAGATGACTATTATTCTGAAACATGGAAAATACTATTAATAAAGAACGAGTCGGTGTGTCTAAACGTTTGACTGGTAGTGTATATGAAAGGTCTAAACATATCTGTGAGTTGTTTGAGAACTGCTCATGTGACTGAAAGTGAACCCGCATGGCACTAAACTCCGTGTCTGCTTCGCTGACTTTCCTGAAAGAGTTCCTTTCACTGCACCTTTAAAATAGAGCCACGATGGGTTCCAGAGGTGAGGACTAAAAAAAATGACAGGCACAGAGGTCATCGGGGTTGAATCATTGTCACACTTGTGAATACCACGTGACGTAATATGCATCCGCTGAAAGGTTTAAAACAAGCATTACTGAAGTTGAAGTTGCTTCTTTAAAGGGTTAGTTCACCCAAAAATGAAAATTATGTCATTGATGACTCATCCCCATGTCGTTCCAAGCCCGTAAGACCTCCGTTCATCTTTGGGAACACAGTTTAAGATATTTTAGATTTAGTCCGAGAGCTTTCTGTCCCTCCATTGAAAATGTATGTACGGTATACTGTCCTTGTCCAGAGAGGAAATAAAGACATCATCAAAGTAGTCCATGTGACATCAGTGGGTTAGTTACAATTATTTGAAGCATCGAAAATACATTTTGGTCCAAAAATAACAAAAACTACAACTTTATTCAGCATTGTATTCTCTTCCGGTTCTGTTGTCAAGCCGCGTTCAGTGCCGCTGCTGACGTAAGACGCTGCTGACGTGTAATCTGGTGCGCCCGAGCTTCGTTCAAAGTCTGAGGGAGAGGCACGCTGGAAACAAAACAATCTTTGCAAACATGTCTAAGGATTTCGACACAGAGGAAGACTTGCATTTTTTTGCCCAGCCATTTTTATTTGAACCCGAATACACGGACACACCAGATACACGTCACTGTCAGCAGCGTCTTACGTCATCACCGTCACTGCAGACTCGTGAACGCGGATTGACAACAGAACCGGAAGACAATACAATGCTGAATAAAGTCGTAGTTTTTGTTATTTTTGGACCAAAATGTATTTTTGATGCTTCAAAACATTCTAACTAACCCACTGATGTCACATGGACTACTTTGATGATGTCTTTATTTCCTTTCTGGACAAGGACAGTATACCGTGTATACATTTTCAATGGAGGGACAGAAAACTCTCGGACTAAATCTAAAATATCTTAAACTGTGTTCCGAAGATGAACGGAGGTCTTACGGGCTTGGAACGACATGAGGGTGAGTCATTAATGACATAATTTTCCTTTTTGGGTGAACTAACCCTTAAACCCTCTGGGGACCAAGGTGTTTTTGGGGCCCTTGGGATGTTTTGACATGCACTGACATTTGTGCTTTTTTCAGTTATTTATAAACATGTTAATGGCAAAGGTGTAATTACACTCTATTTAGCACAAACAGGGCTACCATAATATGTGAGCAACATGTATGTACATGTTTGTATTTTTAAGAGAATAATGTTTAAGCTTGGTTATTGAAAAAAATAAAAATGAAAGTTGCTGAAATAAGACCACAAAACACAAACTAAATATGTGTCCACAAGACTTTTGACTAATGGATGTTGTCGCTTCGAGTTCTGGCTTCAAAATGATGTGAAAATCATCCTGTCTAATTATTCACATAACACAATAGATTCTTTTAAATTGTGAAAAACATTTTTTTGTTATCCAAGGCAATATGCGAATGGGCGTGAACGGCCCAACCCCATTGTGAATAATTAGGTGGTTGAGAAGACAAAAACAACCCCATTGGGCCGTTATACCCCATAACCCCATAATTAGGTGGTTGAGAAGACAAAGACGACCCGCATATTAATGAGCCTTTCATTCAGGTGTGTCACACAAGAAAGAATGCAAGGACAATATACACACACACACACACACACACACACATACATATACATATACATATACATATACATATACATATACATATATATATATATAAAATCAAAATATAAATGAAAGTCAAAAGCACATTTTTAGTCATACCTGGAAACAAATCCTGTTCAAATAGGTTATATGGGCCATTCTACAGAATTGGTTCAAAGTTAGAGTTGGAAACATCTTGAAAAGAAAATTGTCTTTTTCCATAACTGTCTTAGTAGGCCAATACATTTTATCATACATATTTCAAAGTTAAGGATTCATTATTTTGATATAGATTGCATTGGAACAAACACTAGCCTATAACATCTTAGTTGATTAGTTTATTGACAAAACATACTATATATTTAACATATGAGCAGAAACTGCTAACAAAAGCTTATTTGGTGTCTATTTTAGAGTTAAAACTTTATAATCTATTCAAAACTAGTCACACACACACACACACACACACACAGAAACATGATTCAAATTTAAACAGTAGGCTATTTTTGCGTTTACAGACACTAACGTTATTATATATCGCGATTAGAACAAAGCACAAGAATAAAACACTTACAGTTCAGCTCGCTCCTCGAAGTGAAAATAAACCAGCACTTGTTCTGAGGTAGGTAAATGTCCCAGGATTATTCCTCACAGCCGCGCAAGACGACAGTACATTAATCTGACTAAATATAGTGTGTTTACCGAGTTGATATGTGGGCGTTTACACGTCTCAATGTGTTGCTTCAGATTATTAGCGTTTGAATAGCGCGCGCTCTCCGTGGGCGTGTCACATTAGCAGAATAATGAGATGCGAGAACGATAATGAGAACGGCTGACACCTCTCTCTTTTTATATAGATTACATAAACGGAGAATATTTATTTTAGTTTTAAATGAGATAATTTAAAAGTACAAACTTAAATGATCATAAACATATATTGCTCATGTCTGGGTGAATAGTATTAGCTGAGTTTTGTTTAAGTTTAAGAGACGTGCTCCAGAAAAAAAGTTCAAGGACACGGAGAAGCAGAACGCACACCCTGTTTATTTTCTTTATATTTTACAAAAGCACAATATTTTATTTCGATTGTAGAAAAATCTACCAAAACGCACGGGTGCGTTTTTGGTCCCCAGAGGGTTAATGCTTAAAAATATCTTAAACATGACCAGCGGGTGAGTTTTCCTGAAAGTAATTAAAATTTCAACAGATGTAAATGGATCATTAAATTCAAAATAAAATTAACTGAGAAATGTACCACATTTCATCTTTGTCTAATCGGTCAAGAAAACCACCATTTTTGCCTTAACACACAACTTTTTTTTTGCAGCAGACAACAGGACGTGTTCTTTACAATTTAAAGTAATTAATTTAAATACAATTATATTAAAATATAAATAATTTAAATAATAACTTGCTTATTTACATAACATTTGTACCATTTTATATAATTGTATTTTAAACATTTTTTTTTTAAATAACAGTTTATAGTTTAAAATAACAAATAGCCTAAAGAGGATATATGGCTTTCATTTTCAATACACCAGGAAAATTATAACAATACAGATGGAAAGTTTGCGAAACATGGTTTTGAAGTGTCACTAGTTCACAAGATATCAATAGGTTCATCTACATCATGGAAGAATGGTGACATACTGTTACGGTCATTTCAAAACACGCAAGGATCTCACAATCCACACGTTGCACAGCACACAAGTGGTAAGGCAGAAATATAGCTAAAGCACCAAACAACACGTGACTGCCACCTACAGGTTAACTGGGTAAACACATGGTGTCATGATATAATATTTTGTGGCACTCACCCTCCCACAGCAGCAAGCTCTGAGGTGCCACAGACGGCCAGATGACCAGGTTATTGGGCTCGTACAGCGGGTTGAGAAATCGCTCCAGCTCCTGAGGACGGTTCACCCATGACCACAGAGACACGGTTTTCTGAGACAGCTGCAGCTTCACCCTGAAACATTACACAGAAAGTACTAAGTTTACATTTACACCCAAACTTTACAGTAAAGTTTATGTTATGAGGAGCCAGACACATCCGGCCATTGCCATCCGTTATCTCAAATAAGCAAACAAAAAGCCTTTCACCAATTCTACTCTTCAAGCTTAACCCTAACATTCATAAACATTTTGAGCTACAGAATCTTACATAACAAATAGTCAGTACTCGTCTATCACAAGCAACACTCTTTAATAATAAAGAACCTTTCAGTGAAAAGCCCTTTTTCTTTGTGTTTTCTTTCACTTTACAAATCTAAACAATCTGTATTTTCACTAAAGAATCTTTTGTGGAATAAAAGGTTATATATCTTTGCGGAACTAAACCCAAACCGAACCAAAATGAAACCTGTCCTCTGGAGTCTAAAGGCCAGATTTATGTCATCACACACATTACACACTGTTCATTGTCAGTAAATGACTGTACCAAATCTGGACATTTTGAAATGTGATACACATTTTAGCAATAAGTGAAAAAAACATTGCACAACACATTTACAAAAACATCCTGCTCAGAATAAGAAACAAACACAAAAGGGTCACGGCCAGCTACAAGCTGACGTAGGAGTGTTGACAGAAGAGGTCATGACCTCTGCTCCTGAACGTCTCTTTCCATACGGATAGAATTACAACCTGCCAACCTAAATGTGTAACACAGATTGTACTTGGAAACGTCAAGTGCAAAATATTCTGAATGCCAACCCTAGCAGTTCTCCTCTGAATCCACACTTTGGAGATGGGTAACTTCAGAATAATAAAATGAGTTTGGCGTTTAGGACAGGGCCTGTGTTGGCTAGTTAGAAATTAGGGGTGATGTATCTGGGATTGTAATTTACAAGATGGTTATATGTGATGTAATAGAGGAAATGATGAGATGTATGTGAGAATCTGTAAATGGAGGGGAGCACTAACCTTTCGGCCACTCTGTTTCCAAGGAAAGTGCCAAACTGTGAGGCATAGGTGTGCTCAAAGAGCATGATCAGGAAATTCTCATTGAACTGGAAGGAGCAGGGGAACTGGCGCAGGATCTGCCACACACAGTCCAGGAAGAGCAGGAACACGGGCGCTTCACTTCGAGGCTTCCCGTTTGAGAATGCAGACTGCGCACAGCGCTGCTGGAATGGGTGACCGGCCTGGAGGTAAAGGATTTCATACATCACAGATGTATAATCATTTTTTATCAAATAAAACCACAAAATTCCGCACCCTAGTTCCCTTGTTAATCAGTATATCATCGAATTCAGCAGTAGCAAAGGTGTTGATTCTCTACACACTGATATGCCACTATATAATAAGACGTTGCATACAGTAATATTATGAAATACATACTTGTTCTACAATTTTTTATTAAGAAAAACATAAATGTACATGTGTAAGACTGGAAAAACTGGAAGAACTGGTTAAGGAATGACCACTCCTCGAGAAGACAAAGGACCTTGCTGGAAATTACCATTTGAACATTTGAGAGAAAAAAAAAGTCTCACCTAACCTACATTTCTTCCCCTCATCCCCCACTCGTTCTATCACCAAAACTCACACAAGAATATATATGGTTTAATGTGAATGATTATCATCGAGTATTGTACATGTTTAGTATCATTTTAAATGTCTCTCTCAGGGTGACCCGTACAAGTGTCTCATTTTCAAATAAGTAAAACAAAAGGTAATAAGGTTTTTAAGAGTTCAGAGATAACACGCACACAAAGGAGGGTGGGATGGTTGAACCCTCCTGCTCTGAAAAGGTGTAACCTCTGAATGCAAATTCCCATTGTTAGCACATGTTTCCATGTGAAAGAAGTTTCTGTCTATGTAATGAAATGTAGCAAGGGGTTCGGGGCCTTTCTGTATCTCAGATCAGCCCGTGAATGCTGAGAGCTGCAGGGACTTCATGTATTTCCTAATGTTGGGTTAGTATCTCTTCTCTTTATTCCAGAGCATTTGATGTTATTGTTTTAAATATATTTGAACTGATTATGAAATTGGCATGATACATTTACCTGACATAATAAATTGTTACATTTGATTATTCTAATTGACTTTGACATTATTTTCATTCAAGAGTTTGAAAACAATAGTCAAACATTCGCTCACATTTGATGATGCACGGATATCAAAAAAAAAAAATCATTTATGGAGTCAGATGAAATAACGAGAACATACATATGAGAAATTTATTTGATTTAATCAAAATGACTTTGCCACGCGGAAAGACAGTAACACACAGAGACCTTCCCGGGTGATCGGATGCCTCCATTGGGCTGATCGAGCCGGGCCTTACACATGCATATTAGCATTTAGACATTAAACAAATATAATACAAAGAAAAATGCTGACCATACAACATCGTTCAAAAGTTTGGGGACAGTAAGATTTTTTAGTCTCTTATATTCACCAAAGCTGCAATTATTTCATTAAAATACAAAAAAAAAAATACAGTAAAATCAGTAATATTGTGAAATAATACTATTACAATTAAAAAAAACAGTTTTCTATATTTTATTTTAATTTTAAAATGTAATTTAATCCTGTGATGGCGAGTTTTCAGCATCATTCCTCCAGTCTTCAGTGTCACATGATCCTTCAGAAATCATTCTAATATGATGATTTGCGGCTCAAGAAATATTTCTTATTATTCTTATTATCATTATATCAATGTTTAAAACAGTTTTGCTGCAATTTTTGTGGAAACCATGAAACCTTTTTAAGATTCCTTGAACAGAAAGTTCAAAAGAACATCATTTATTTAAAAATATCAATCTTTTGTCACATTATTATTGCATTTACTGTTCAATTTTGATCAATTTAGTCCATCCTTGCTGAAAAAAAAAAAACCTTACGGACCCCAAATTTTACACAATAAAATCCATAAATTAAAAAGTAAAATTAAAAAGCTCTTTTTAAACATCTAAGAACTAAAATTATTTTGTCTCACACACACACACTACAAAGGCTACTTTTATGGAAAGAAACTAAATAAGCAACATAAGTTCTTTCAGCTTGATATTTATTTCCTGTATAATATTTTGTAGAACTTTTTATTTGAATGCCAAAAAATATATTGTAAGCCTGTCTATTGGTCCAAAGACAGTTTCCAATAATACGGGGAAGGTCTCAGCGTGTTGTTGTCTTTCATTTTACGCAACACAACAAGATTAAATGGAACACAAATGTATTTTCTCGTTATTTCATCTGACTCCATAAATGAAAATGAAAAAAAGGTTTTAATGACATCTGTGTATCATCAAAAGTTAAGAAATATTTGATTCATCTTTTTAACTCTTAATTACGTTTTACCCGCTCAGATTAGGAAACTATACCACTTTGAGGTCCGTGCGTCTTTCGCAGGTCTCCGACACAATCTCGCCAGTTTCCGGTCATCAAATATCTGAGATATGCCGTATTCACACGTACACAATCAAAAGATACTTTAACAACCCCCTTGGAATGCCTCCTCGTGAATTTAATTCAATCGTTTTACTTCAATAGGAATTCTGGCCACCATTAAAAGACGTCAGTCGATCAGCTTTACTTCTGTATTCGAGACACACCCGAATCCAAGCTGATCAAACAGCATTTGCCGTTACTTAGACGGAAATAACTTGTCTCTGCACCCAAGCACGCTTGAATATTAGCCGTCGCTAATCTGACGCAAAACTTGTGGAAGTATACGAATCCGATAATCTATTTGGGAAAAATAATCTTAGAGTCAGTCAGAATAAAATCAAACGTTTACAATTTATTGACCAGGTAATGAAGCAATAATTCAAAATCCAATTCATGAAATCATATCATAACAACAATTCAGAAATCGAGGAATTTGGAGAAGTTATTATCTGGCAACGGAAATTACACACAGCGGTTGTGTGGGCAGTCAACCTACAGACTCCTCGAACTTTTCTGCTCCTTTTCCTTATAAACCCAGATATTCAATATTCTTTACCAAATGGTCTTGTCTGTCCTTATAATTAGATTTCGGTCCCCTATAGAAGGGTTCACAGCTTGAAGGGGTTCTTGTTTTACATACAGGAGGTGGTTTGAATGGAGGATCTGGGGGACACATTACTTTTCTCATACTTTATAACTTATTTTTAGCCTTTCATTATAGTTGGGAGAATGAGACCATTTTACCTGGCGCACTGAGACACTTAAAATGAGACCAAACATGTATAGTTACTTTTTGTACACACATAATATTGCATGGGTTTTCAGTGAGTTCTGGGTGAGGGGGAGCAGGGGGATGTGATGAGACTGTAAGAGTAAGGTGTGAACTGCACTGTGCTATGTCTCGGATGTTGCTGTTACATATTTAAGTGGGAGCTCAAATGTTAATTCTAAGGAGAGCCTTTTGCTCTCTCGAGGGGGATGCTCAGACGAACTGGCACCTGGCTTACAATATATTTTAAAGACTGAATATAAATGTACACTTGTGCTCATTCTCTGATGCCCTACGACAATATTTCTAGTGTGTAAATATAGTGTATAGCCAGTAATCCACAATTTTTTCAGTGGAGAGAGCTAGAATGATTTTGACAGTGGGACAGCCTCAGAAATGGCCGACCCCTGGGGAACTAGGGAGCAGATTGAAACAAATCAGGCACATCTGAATGAAAGAGTTTTCCTGGTAACCTCCCTCACCTGTAACCACTCTCGCTCGATCAGCGCCTCAAAGCCACGGATGGTTCTGCATGCCGGATCGAGGATGATCTGGGCGAGAGACGTCACCTGCAGTGTTGAATCAGTGCCCTCCGTGCCATGAACCAGAACTGACGCCCCTTCCCTGCAAAACACCACAAATAACGCACATTACACATTATGAAAATGACATTTTAGCTGTGATTTTTGGGATGTTAAGCACTTCCACCGATCCCAGTTTGAAATTGCACTCAGTTTGAGATTATTTAGCACACACATAGTGCTACAAACCTGATAATGAACTGCATGCCAAAAAAAGCATTTAAAACAGCAGTACTGGTGGTATAAACATAATGATCATTACAGCATGACAACAGCAGTAATTAACACCACAACAAGCTTTGCAACAAATGTGGTGAGAAACAGGGCGGCAGCAGCTTTTGTAATTAACTTAGAACAGAGCTAAAACAGTAATTAACACAGCTGCACAGTATGGCATAAGCAGATCAGTCTGTGGTGTAATGGGTCTGTGACAGGAACAGACAGACGTATCAACAGATGTACCTGTCAATGCACTGTGCAGCCAGGCAGGCCGTGGTGAGGATTTCCTTAACATGACTCTGCCAGTTGGAGGCTTCAAGTTTACTGAGCCAGCGGTCCATGCTGTGAGACTGATCATTGCATGCCTCCACCAGCTTTATCAGACTCTCCTGCAGAACATTAGACCTGTGGGAGAACAGCTGTCAGATTATAGTCCCAGTTACAGAACTCATTTGTGCAGCTGTGTATGCCTGCTCGCAAACGATATGCTTCAGCTCTGAATTGGCATTTTAGCTGCAGCTTCAGGCATATGCCTAAAAGATTTGAACTAACAAGTCCCCTGATCAATGTACAGTCTATGATGGTCCAAAGTTTGTTCATTGACTGTCTGCTTGATCACATAATTGAGAAGTACTTTGGCAAAGTCTAATCTGACTGGCTGACTTATGTAACTTTATCAGTACCTGGAAACCAGGCTGAGCGCTTATGAAATGGTCACTGGATTTCACCCTCTCCCTCTCCCTCTCCCTCTCCCTGATACTTCGTCAACTCTGCACAAAAAACTACTACTACTGCAGGCGTGCAGGTCACATTGGTTCTATTGACGGAAATGACAGGGAGAGGGAGAGGGAGAGGACTTTTCACGAGTGAAGATATTACAGCGCCGAGTCAAAGTGCTCCCAATAAGTGCTATTCTGCCGTACATTATAGTTATCCATTTTACCCGCTTATAAAAAGCGACACATTTTATTTAGTGTCACCATACTTGGTCGTGTAACTACTCGTGTAACTATATTTAAATAGAGAAAACGTGGATGTGTTTGGTCGCTTCTAACTTCATCTCTGTTTGGCCCATATACAATGAATGGGGCTAAGCTAACTGCTCTCAAAGTTCTCCGCCCGACAGAGCGATTCAGTGCACGCACTGAGACGAGAGAGGTATGTATCAACTCGTCTTAGATAAGAGAATAACATAGTTTAATATGAAAAAACAGTGGAGTATCCCTTTAAAGCATATTAAAAACACCACATTGACACATAAACAACATTAAAAACTTGATTTTTACCACAGGGGGTCTTTTAGCAAATCTCAAAATAAATATAAATTTTTCATACTGTACATTATAATGTTGTGATGTCTAAATTTACTTCTAACATTTTAAACTGTTACTTTTTATTTTTTTACATTTATTTGGATAAAATAGTATTGCATTTTAATATTGGTCATAACATGAAAATGATTATCAGCCAGAATATTAATATTATGCATCTCTATTCTCTACTATGCAGTTTGGATGGGTCTGCGGGAATAATTGGATACACACCTCTCAATGGCTTTATGGATCCTCCTCCACTGCGGGTAGTTGGCTTCCTGTTCAAATCCTCCTCCGCGAGCTTTAGCCTGCTGCGCTACCGCTATAGTCCGTGTGTCGATGATGTAACCACGCTTCCCTGCGCAAAGCGTGGCATTGATCAGTTTCTCGTCTTCTTTGCAGCGGCGCCCATTGGTTCCTGTTAGGGGCTGGGCTGATCGCATCATCACCTGTGGACAGTGAGATCAGGGTCTGTATTAAATAGATCAATATTTGGAGAAAACATTTTCAAAGTGCATTTCTAACCATGCCGTTTTTCTTGTGGTAGTAACTGAGCATAGGGAAACGGCCACCGTGGCGGAAGGAAGCAGCTTTGCAGAGACTTTCATCATCGATGTCTTTGGGCACGGTCAGTAGGGACGGGTACGAGGGGCACACGCTGAAGTCTTTATTGACCTCACTCAGTCTCCATTCATCTGTCTGAGAGAGGACCACAGAGCTCAGGGTCACCTTTACAATTTAGACAGTTCCTTTTTAAATCAAAATAACAAATCAAAAACAGAAAACCTAATTCTAACATTCTAATTGTAAACTAATAGGGGTTTAGAATAAGCTGACATACACTACTGTACCCTTCAAAAGTTTAAACTCAGTAAGATTTGTTTTTTGAAAGAAATTAATACTTTTACTCAGCAAGAATACATTTAATTGATCAAAAGTGAAACCTTTATAATGTTACAATGATTTCTATTTCAAATAAAGTTCTTTTGAACGTTCTATTCATAAAAGAATCCTTAAAACAATTTCAAAGTTTCCACTAAACTAAGTGAGAGGTTTTACAGGTATTTGCATGCAAAATATGCAATCCACCGTTTTTACACTAAATTTCTTGGTTGGGAACTCTATGTCCACATGTACAGTAATGTTCACATTCAAAAGCATTCCAGTAAAAAGCAAATCAGTTTTTTTTCACCTCTCATTGCATCTCTCACTGCTCCTGCACCTCTCACTGCTCCTGCACCTCTCACTGCATCTGCATCTCTCACTGCACCTCTCACTGCATCTGTCACTGCTCCTGCACCTCTCACTGCATCTGTCACTGCTCCTGCACCTCTCACTGCATCTGCATCTCTCACTGCTCCTGCATCTCTCACGGCTCCTGCACCTCTCACTGCATCTGTCACTGCTCCTGCACCTCTCACTGCATCTCTCACTGCTCCTGCACCTCTCACTGCATCGCTCACTGCATCTGCATCTCTCACTGCTCCTGCATCTCTCACTGCTCCTGCATCTCTCACGGCTCCTGCACCTCTCACTGCATCTGTCACTGCTCCTGCACCTCTCACTGCATCTGTCACTGCTCCTGCACCTCTGACTGCATCTGTCACTGCTCCTGCACCTCTCACTGCATCTGTCACTGCTCCTGCACCTCTCACTGCATCTGTCACTGCTCCTGCACCTCTGACTGCATCTGTCACTGCTCCTGCACCTCTCACTGCATCTGTCACTGCTCCTGCACCTCTCACTGCATCTGTCACTGCTCCTGCACCTCTCACTGCATCTGCATCTCTCACTGCTCCTGCATCTCTCACGGCTCCTGCACCTCTCACTGCATCTGTCACTGCTCCTGCACCTCTCACTGCATCTCTCACTGCTCCTGCACCTCTCACTGCATCTGTCACTGCTCCTGCACCTCTCACTGCATCTCTAACTGCTCCTGCACCTCTCACTGCATCGCTCACTGCATCTGCATCTCTCACTGCTCCTGCATCTCTCACTGCTCCTGCATCTCTCACGGCTCCTGCACCTCTCACTGCATCTGTCACTGCTCCTGCACCTCTCACTGCATCTGTCACTGCTCCTGCACCTCTCACTGCATCTCTCACTGCTCCTGCACCTCTCACTGCATCTCTCACTGCTCCTGCACCTCTCACTGCATCTGTCACTGCTCCTGCACCTCTGACTGCATCTGTCACTGCTCCTGCACCTCTCACTGCATCTGTCACTGCTCCTGCACCTCTGACTGCATCTGTCACTGCTCCTGCACCTCTCACTGCATCTGTCACTGCTCCTGCACCTCTCACTGCATCTGTCACTGCTCCTGCACCTCTCACTGCATCTCTCACTGCTCCTGCACCTCTCACTGCATCTCTCACTGCTCCTGCACCTCTCACTGCATCTGTCACTGCTCCTGCACCTCTGACTGCATCTGTCACTGCTCCTGCACCTCTCACTGCATCTGTCACTGCTCCTGCACCTCTCACTGCATCTCTCACTGCTCCTGCATCTCTCACTGCATCTGCATCTCTCACTGCATCTGCATCTCTCACTGCTCCTACACCTCTTACTGCATCTCTCACTGCTCCTGCATCTCTCACGGCTCCTGCACCTCTCACTGGATCTCTCACTGCACCTCTCACTGCTCCTGCACCTCTCACTGCATCTCTCACTGCTCCTGCACCTCTCACTGCATCTCTCACTGCCCCTGCTCCTCTCACTGCTCCTGCATCTCTCACCGCATCTCTCACTGCTCCTGCACCTCTCACTGCATCTCTCACTGGTCCTGCATCTCTCACTGCACCTGCATCTCTCACTACTCCTACACCTCTCACTGCATTTCTCACTGCACCTCTCACTGCTTCTACACCTCTCACTGCATCTCTCACTGCTCCTGCATCTCTCACTACTCCTACACCTCTCACTGCATTTCTCACTACACCTCTCACTGCTCCTACACCTCTCACTGCATCTCTCACTGCTCCTGCATCTCTCACTGGATCTCTCACTCCACCTCTCACTGCTCCTACACCTCTCACTGCATCTCTCACTGCACCTCTCACTGCTCCTACACCTCTCACTGCATCTCTCACTGCATCTCTCACTGCTCCTGCACCTCTCACTGCATCTCTCAATGCTCCTGCACCTCTCACTGCACCTCTAACTGCATCTCTCACTGCTCCTGCACCTCTCACTACTCCTACACCTCTCACTGCACCTCTCACCGCTCCTGCACGTCTCACTGCATCTCTCACTGCTCCTGCACCTCTCACTGCATCTCTCACTACTCCTACACCTCTCACTGCATCTCTCACTGCTCCTACACCTCTCACTGCACCTCTCACCGCTCCTGCATCTCTCACTGCATCTCTCACTACTCCTACACCTCTCACTGCATCTCTAACTGGATCTCTCACTCCACCTCTCACTGCATCTCTCACTGCTCCTACACCTCTCACTGCATCTCTCACTGCTCCTACACCTCTCACTGCATCTCTCACTGCTCCTACACCTCTCACTGCATCTCTCACTGCTCCTGCACCTCTCACTGCATCTCTCACTGCTCCTGCACCTCTCACTGCTCACTGTATCTCTCACTGCTCCTGCACCTCTCACTGGATCTCTCACTGCACCTCTCACTGCATCTCTCACTGCTCCTACATCTCTCACTGCATCTCTCACTGCACCTTTCACTGCATCTCTCACTGCTCCTGCATCTCTCACTGCATCTCTCACTGCTCCTACACCTCTCACTGCTCAGGCACCTCTCACTGCATCTGCATCGCTCACTGCTCCTGCATCTCTCACTGCATCTGCATCTCTCACTGCTCCTGCATCGCTCACTGCTCCTGCACCTCTCACTGCATCGCTCACTGCTCCTGCATCTCTCACTGCATCTGCATCGCTCACTGCTCCTGCATCTCTCACTGCATCTGCATCGCTCACTGCTCCTGCATCTCTCACTGCATCTGCATCGCTCACTGCTCCTGCATCTCTCACTGCATCTGCATTGCTCACTGCTCCTGCATCTCTCACTGCATCTGCATCGCTCACTGCTCCTGCATCTCTCACTGCATCTGCATCGCTCCGTGCTCCTGCATCTCATACTGCATCTGCATCGCTCACTGCTCCTGCATCTCTCACTGCATCTCTCACTGCTCCTGCACCTCACTGCATCTCTCACTGCTCCTGCATCTCTCACTGCATCTCTCACTGCTCCTGCATCTCTCACTGCATCTGCATCGCTCACTGCATCTGCATCGCTCACTGCTCCTGCATCTCTCACTGCATCTGCATTGCTCACTGCTCCTGCACCTCTCACTGCATCTCTCACTGCTCCTGCATCTCTCACTGCATCTGCATCGCTCACTGCATCTGCATCGCTCACTGCTCCTGCATCTCTCACTGCATCTGCATTGCTCACTGCTCCTGCACCTCTCACTGCACCTCTAACTATTAGAAATTAATGTTTTAATTTAAAATTATGATTTCATCGTATAATTTAATGATATGGCCACAAAAGACCGATGCTGTGCTAATTGTGTTTAGAGTTTTGAAAATGTGACAACTGGTTGGACAAACGCTTGTTAGTGACTGAAAAAACTGTAATATTCAACAATATTATTGATTTGACTGCACTGACACTATTTGATGCGAACTGAACTGAGCTGGACGACGACATCAATGTTTTTCTCTGTAGATGAAAATTAACTAATTTATTAATTGATGATCTTTAAAATGGATCTGAATCAACACTGAACTGACTACAGATGAACAATGACACAATTTTCTTTTAGAGCTGCTGTAGAGCCGAAATAAGCTGTTTGCATTATAGAATCATTTTCCTGTTATCATTGTGTAGCTGCTTTGAAACAATCTGTATTGTATTTCATATATAAATAAAGGTGACTTGATAAATGCAGCAATAAGAGTCTTCTTTCAAAAAACATAAAAAAAACCTTACCGACCCCAAACTTTTTAACGGTAGTGTATGAAATACTAGCTGTATTTATTTTAAAATTGGATCTCAGAACATGTAATCATGAGTATTTGTTCCCTGGCTTCCCATAGAGAACAATCTGAAGAAAAAAAACGAACAATGATACACTGAGAAAATGTATCACAATTTTTTTTCTGATGACCTCAGTGTCAAGGCTTCCAGGGATAAAACAATACCATAGACTCCAGATCTTTGAAAGCCTCCTCTGGTATGAACAACTGCCATCCATCCTCAATGACCTCAAACAGAGGACGGTAGAAGAAGGGATACATCAGGGACACAGAGTCCAGTGTGGACAGAGCCTGAAAGATGAACCATCATAACCTGAACACTAACAGCATAAACTGATGAGTAGAAATTAGTAGATCCTCAGGTTATTATTTATCTATTATTATTCTGCTTTATGCATATCTATTGCTTACATTACTGTTGTCTTTTCTTAGTCTTCATGAATGTGTTACGGGTGTTCCCTGAAGGAACTGTGTTTCGTTTTTTTTTTTTATTGCCATGCAATGTGCTAAAAATGACAATAAAGTTGACTTTGACTTTATGAGTGAATACTAATGCAGTCTTACCTCAATTGAGCTGGCAATATTAAGACACTCCTCCATGCCAGGTATGTCCAGCTGAATCACCCGCAGGTCTTTACACTTTACAATAATAGTTCCCAAGGATCCAACAAACCTACACACATTAGGTTAGTAAGATTTTTTAAATGTTTTTAGTCTCTTATGCTCACCGTGGCTGCATTTATTTGATTAAAAATAGTGTAAAAACAGTAATATTGTGAAATAGTATTACATGAGTTTCTGTCTCCTGTTGAACTAAAAAGAAGATATTTTTGAAGAATGCTGGTAACCACACAGTTGACTTCCATAGTAGGAAAAAAAATACTATGGAATTAAGGAAGTAAATGGCTACCATCAACTGTCTGGTTATCAACATTCTTTAAAAGATCTTCTTTTGTGTGCAACGGAAGAAAGAAACTCATACAGGTTTGGAACAACATGAGGGTGAGTAAATGATGACATAATTTTAATTTTTGGGTGAACTATCCCTTTCAGATAACCTTTTGGTATGTCAGTGATACCTTTTCTCAATAGAGTCAATGTTGGTATGAAGCAGCCAGAGCTCCTCAGTGTTATCCTGGCGAGAGGACAAAATGAGGTGATGTCCCGTCAGACACAGAGTTCCCTCCACAGTGGGCATGAAGGGTCGGTGGAGGACCACCCCATCCGCACGAGGGGTTTTGATCAGCTCAGCAAACTCCATGATATTTTGAGAGGCACAAGAAACCTGGGAGAGTCAATGGGACATGAAACAGTGATGAATACTAATGCATTCTAAATACATTCATTACGAAATACATACATTTTTTTAGGTTTTTTGTTGTTGTGTGATTAGCATAAATTTAGTTCGTTATATGTATATAACATTAATCTTTTTTTAATTTAGCTAAGAAATGTCTGCACTGTTGATAAGAGTTTTGTTGTTATTTATGTCTTGTAGAGGTGGATTTTTTATCTACAGCAGGCTGCAAAACAAGACAAGCAAAAAGACAGCAGTAAGAAAAATACCACATTTAACTTGAAGCATAAATCAGACATATATGTTTCTTTATAAACAATTATTGTAACATATACAATGTATCTGTGCACATTTCTCTCGGCTCGCTGTGTCATCAGTCTATGCTCATCACACTGAAAATATGACAACAGACGTCACGGGATTTGCAGCTGAGTCGCTCGTACTAAAAACTGTTCAAAGGCACTCGACAGAAAACCGTAAATGCAATGTAGCTTGTCAAGAACAAAATGTGCATTATAAACATGTACTTAGATTAGATGACAGCGGTAACAACAACATTCCTCTCACCAACACTTCCTTGTCTTCCACTCCTTTGTTGGATCTGACAACAGACCGCAAGCAAATTTGAATCAATATCGCCACCTAATGGTTTGGGTGACCACGAGGGAGAATGAGAACATAAAAAAAAAAAAAAGATATGAGAGCTGAATAATCCTATTCTCACTCAAAAATAAAAGTAATTGAGTGATTATTAAAAAATATATATAACTATGTGTAAGCAGTTGTATAAAATACAATATAATTATACAAATATAATTTTAGTGTTCTCTTCAGGTTTATTAGAAATATATTGACTTCACCAGAAAGACACGATCACAAAACATTAATGATGAACACCATGACAATTACAACATGCAAAAGTTAAACAATGTTATACACAATAGAAGAGATTAGGAACAAGTTTTAAATTTTGATATTTGCAAGCATGTTCTTCTCAATTGTTAGGCTAAATAAATAAATAAATAAATAATGTGAATGCCTAATTAAAAACAGGAATGGATCTGTATCTGTATTTTGTAATTAACCCAAATTTAGAATGCTTGACAAGGATGCATTTACTATGTAGACTCCACAATCAGGACGGTTATTTTCACTAGTTGAACTGTGGACTGTACATTTGTGGAAGTGAACAAACAGTTCTGGAATGTATTCCAGGGAATACTTGCTTCTTAATGTTATCCATTAAACCTTACAGGTGTTACTGGCAGTGCTGAGAGTTTAGAACACTGCTGACGTGTCCATTTTTGGCAATGAGTACAAAAAAAAACGAACAAAAAAAAATCATCAATTTCGTGGCACAGGAATTTAAAAAAAAACTGAGTGAAATTATCATATGTTCACCAGTGTACAAAGTCTTCTCAATGACTTTATGTTTTAATGAAAATATATACTATAAAATTTAAAAAAAAATAGGTCTAAAATATTATCATAATCAATCAGTTTCTCATAATCTTCATGCAACGGACTTTTTTTCTCTCTCTGTGATATCTTGGAACTGTATTATAAAATTGTACTGTACTATAATTTCACAAAGGTTTAATGGGGTTATTCTAAAATAAAATAAAATAAAATAAAATAAAATAAAATAAAATAAAATAAAATAAAATAAAATAAAATAAAATAAAATAAAATAAAATAAAATAAAATAAAATAAAATAAAATAAAATAAAATAAAAAAATGTTTCTGCACGACTCTACAGGATAAGTGGTTTGGAGAATGGATGGATTGAAAATTCTAATATATATCTTGGCTCCATTATTTTACTGCATTATAATATTTCAAGCATGTTTGACAGATTTGCAGCATTTACTGTTGAATTTTTCAGTAAAGTGTGTGTGTGTGCGCGCGTTCGTATGTACACCTGTATGAATAGCTCCTGCTGTAGTCATAGCAGAATCCTGCTGGGAGCAGAGTGCCCTCCTGTTGAGGAGGAAGATGAGTGTTTCTTGAGCACTGTGAGCGATTACAGTCACTGCATTATTTAGCTTGAGTTACATGTGTGCCATGAACCCTACACTTCCCCAAAAAATATGCAGCTCCATTTGCTCTCATTAAAAATGCATGCTGTTTGTGTGTGTGTGAAAAAAACCCTCCCCTGACTAAGAGCTGATATTTTTGCAAATGTAACTCGAGCGTTGTGGAGCCAGGCACACATAAGCATACATTTTCATATCATGTTATATCAAACCTCAACCTGTAGCTGCATGACAGCACAAAAGGTTTTAAAAATAACAGTGAAGACCTGCTTAGGGCATATGATATGGAATGATTGTTCAGTTTGTCATCACTGCAAAAAATAGCGGGGATTGCAAATCCTGATTACTGGTTCTACTATTGCTAAACTGCATTATAACATTTCAAGATTACACTGCATGAAAACAGAACGCTTTAAAAACAAAGACCTGCTTTTGTCATTTGCCATATGATATGAAATAATTGTCTGTTATCATTGTGTGTGACACCAAAGGCCATGAAATGCAATGACAATCTAAAAAAGATCGGTTTCTCTCTTCTTCAGGCCACTTTGATATAGTGCCTTCTTACATTAGTAGCTGAGCTATGCAGCTTATGCCATCATCAAACATTCCTGTGAAGTTCCATCGGCTCTAAAACCCAGAGGAGTCACTGACGCTGCGCTCTAATTTAAGAACTTCACACAGACCTGCAGCACTGTGCAAACTCAAAGTCACTGCATTTATGAATGATTTCCTTGGGTACAGGAATCATTTGTGCATGCTAGATGCAGGCAGCAGTGCACACATTGTCTGAACATCTTACTTTCAAGTATTCACATCAAATGACCATTGCAGACTTAAACCAAATGAGTTGGCACAGGAATGTCATTCTCTTACATGCATGGATCGCTGTCATAAAAATGATGATTAATGTAATGCCGCCATGACTGTGCCTTAAGCCTGTTGGCATCCATAGTGTGAGATCATCTTATTAATGTAACAGTGACACTGTCTTAATCCTGGTAATGCTTCCCTGCTGCTTCCACAGGTGTTGAGGATTTACAAAGGCTTGTGGGAGGGTGAGACGTCGGGCAGCAGTATTGGGCACTGCTTTGCTGGCAGACAAATCACGCTTTGTTTTGTAATCAGAGCTCAAGCGCAATGTGGTATGGTTCATTTCTTAGGATAACAGAAATGCTTTGGCAAAGTTGTATTTCCCTATCGTTTTGCTCCATCCCACTTGAGTTTGATACTTGGAAGAAACCTGAAGCAAGACATTGAGAAATAGCCGATCTCAGCGTTCAGATGGGCTGCTGATGCCATGGGTTTTCAAAGAATAAAAGGCTGAAGTTAGGAGTCAAACAAATGGTATATCCAGATGGTTTTCAGCTGTTTGGGAATAGTTTAACGAGACCAACGTGGAGAAACGTCACAGTTGCAGTTCTGCCTAAGCGGTCTTGTTTGCCATTTCTAATATTGTATTTTGACATTAGAATGTTTTTCTATAAGTATGACATTAGATTTTTTTTTTTTTTTGCCAGACCACTAAAAGTGTAACTGTGAATCCTCTTTCAATCAATAACTCACGTACAGTGTAAATTTGTACTTTTGAAATGGATATGACATACAGAGGAAGCGCAGCTTTGTACATTTCAATACAGTCTCTGTCCTCCAAACTGTTGCCATAGTTTACATCAGGTAATACTAACATACTAACAGAGTGCAGTGTTTTATTGGCAACATGACTAAGCATTTTGACTATCTTGTTTGTGAACAATGACACAAGGACTTTTCATTCTGATGGCACTGATATGTTCATTGACATAAATACTTACTTTTAAGAAATGAACTAAATATTTTGAGTAAGTTACAGACTTTTGCAGGTAATCCAATGTGTGGTGCTGTTTGTACGAACCGGTTTGAGAATGCACATACTTCTTTGCAAATATTAAGGATGATTTGAGAAATGCACCAAAGCGACTGAGAAAAACTGTAATTAGATGGATGGTTGTGGTTTGATAAAGAATTGTCAATTTTGAACTCTTCTTGCTTTTTGCAGCAGAGCGTTGACAATAGTCAATATGACAACTAATTGAAAACAATGAAACTCTAACACAAAATCAAGTTTATTTAGTTATCTTGTCAAGATTGCAGAGAGACAGAGAGAAAATGAGACAATCTGCAGAGTTGCCCATTAATCATAAATATTTGAATATGATGACCAATCATATTCATATAAAGTAGCCGAATAGGTAGAATCCATTAAATCTAAGATAGATAGATAGATAGAGAGATATAGATAGATAGATAGATAGATAGATAGATAGATAGATAGATAGATAGATAGATAGATAGATAGATAGATAGATAGATAGATAGATAGATAGATAGATAGATAGATAGATAGATAGATAGACAGCCGGGTACAAATAGTCCAGACTGCTTCTACCATCACGCGCGCGATCTCAAGGACAGATTTCTTGTCACAACAATATTTCTCGCGCCTCATTTTTCAGATGTAGCCTATGTACTCTACCTTTATTGCTACTTCCATCCAGGGAGAGGCTGTTACGTTTACAAATGTACTAAGGTTTTCTTGTTTTCACCGAAAAGGGATGTTTGTCACAAACAGGACAGCAGATGCGCGCGGTATCTGCAAACACGTCGCCCTCTGCGCTTCCACTTAGGCCTTTATTTGAAGTTAAATTAATTTAGTGAGTGATTAAAATGTGCTATGATGATCAAGCCTAAAAAATGTAATCACGGGTCTTGTAATTTTCAGTAAAAAATTAAGGTGACAATTAAAAATAGTGTGTGTGTTTTTTTATTAATAAAATGTCAGTGTTGTAGGCAAGGCAAGGCAAGTTTATTTATATCACATTTCAAACACTATCGCAATTCAAAGTGCTTTACACAGAAATGAATTAAAATAATCACAAAATAAAAGCAAGGAAAATTAAAACAGTTTAGAC